AACATAAATTACATTTCCTTCATAAAATTCAAGTATCCCTGCACAATTAATTTAAATTAAACAAACCAAAACAAGAAGGATAGTACTGTGCACCTCTCTGTCCTTTTTATTTGGAAGGGGACTTCAGTTGGCAGATGAATATTATAAAAGAAAAATGTGAATATTTTAATAAAAATGAGGATAATGCAGATGCTCTGTTAACTACACCAAAACTAATCTTAGCTAATCAACTGTCCCACATCTTCTATCTCCCATCAGTGGAAGAGGAGAAAAAAACAAGAATGCACATGCACTGCTTCTGAAGAAGTCATCTAGCTGTCAAAAAATATGTACCATTCTGAACCATTTTCTAAGGGCTTAATGCTATAATACATGTTTGTTTGTTTGTTTTCTTCTCATATTGTGATTAGAGGGTGTTAACAATCTCCCACTGCAGTAAATAGCTAGTAATGAGAAAAACAATTACCTAGTGACAACAAGCAAAGTCCCATTATAATCTCTTTGCTGGTCATAACTCCACTAATCAGCCTGTGTAAGACACTACTGTCACTGACAAAGGTGATCAGGGCCTCTGCAAACTTGGCATAGCAGGAAATGTTCACAGGAGCACAGCGATGGAAGAATGGAATAGGTGCACTGGTGACACAAGAAAAAAAAAATCAGGAAAAAAAATTACTCCTACTTAATATAAATGCCACATCAACACACAAATGAAAGATGAATAGATGCAACCACTCCACCCTCATAACATCATAACCAGAAACCATGTGTTGAATGCACAAGTGCTGCTGGAATGAGGATGATTATATGGGAAATGATGTCGTTCTTACAAGTAACCCTGTGAAGTTGGAGCGTACATTCCAATAGCATATTACCCTCCCACCCATAAACAGTAAGGCTCAGAAAATGTATGTTCCTATGTCACTGAAACATATCTCATTCAAGCGTCACGTGGTGAACCAGCAGCTGAAACAATGCCTCTCACACATGTTGAAGTGGAGTACTGGCTCACATTTAAAGCAAAGAAATACCAGAATGACAATACTACTCTTAAAAGGACATATTTTGCACTTCAAGACATCCACATTTACAACTGTTGTCAAGCAAAACCAATACACATATTTTTAGTATTCCCCCATACTACACTTATTCTTTTACTAAATACTACAATCACAGTGTTTAGCTTCATTACTTTACTAAAATAATGCACTACATTCTCTGCAAAAAAATGCAAACATGTCTCTATGACTTCATTACTCCTTAACTGCTTTGGAAGCATCCTCTCTCAAAACACTGGGGCTAGTATTAAACTTTTTTGAATGCTCAGCACAATTTGTTATCAAGTCTATCAGGGGAAGATAAAAGAGCAAAAATCTTCACACGAAAATTGGATGATTTTGTTTTCCAAATGTTTCCCATTTCTGGCTCATAAACAACGTCACCTCCCAAAGTGGCCTACTAAATCTTTGTGTCAAACTTCCCAATTGCAGTTCAGATGTATATTTCATTAATTATACACTCCTTTTTGTAAACTGATCCAATAAAAGAAATATATTTTGTGCTAAGTCAATCTTTTATAGTTAAACTTATTTCATACTCTATAATGTTCCTTCCTTAAAAGATTTCAGGGGATTGCAGCAGAAATGCACACAATGTTTTGCAGTATCCCCATTTCAGCAATGACTCATAAACCAATGATTTCCTATTTGTTTATAGCTATTTATAAATCTCAAGCCTTTCCAAAATTCCAACCTTTATCTTAAACACTCTGTGAGCAAATCAGCTGTGTTAGGCACATTCTTCCTCAGCATTGCTGCTTTTTATTTTGAACAGAAAAAAAAGAAAAAAGACAACATTCCTAAAACCATGAGAGTGTAATTATCTGCATGGAATTCAGGAGAAATTATGATTACCTTCCAGACTTAGATAATTAATAGATTCTAGGTTTATGATTGAAGTGACTGACAATTGTAAATTATACAGTTCCAATCTCACTGTGCCGAACAGACAAACACATTTGCAGGTGCTCATATTATAATCTACTGTTGGTTACTGATGAAGACAGCAGTTAAGCACAGTAAAGCAATTCCGCATTGTTGTTAAAAAACAAACTAAACCAATACTCTATTTAAAAGACAGCTCGCGTATCCTCTCAGCCTATTTGGAATATGCAATATGCTACAGTTCATTATAAGCGTTAATAATGGGAAATATTGAAAATTGACTTTTATTTTACTGTTAACTGCTCCAACTTTGCACAAATTCTGGAGTATTTAAAAAATTGTCAATATCAGCAGCAATACACAATTTTTGATCTGGGAGTATGGAAGGAACTATTATCTCTGCAACATGAATAAGAAAATACCAATTTTGAAAAGTAAGTCTAGCAGGAATAAAATGCCATTCAAAAATCCACCCTAATAGGAAAAAATGTTTTTTGTGCACCACTTTGTATCACTTATCTAACACTCCCTATGTTAAAGTACTTTCACTACACATTTATTTTCCTATGTAATAATTAATTTCTAACTTTATCATAATTAATAAAAAATGAGGTTCCTACAAGTTTTCCTGAATAAACTGCACTCCCGAGAATTCATCTTTTGAGATCGACTCCTATTTCAGTGGTTCTGCCTCAATGAGAAAGGAAGGCAAGGTGTCCTGTTTAATTAAAAATGCAATAATAGATCTATTCTCTGTGACTTGTACTATCTTGTATGGCCTCTCGATCATTACTTGGAATACTGCATACTGAAACTGAATTGCAAGTTTCTCAGAATAATATGTTGCTTAATGAAGAATAAAGCAAACACAGTTCAAGCCAGCAAATGAAGTTAAGACCTCTACCTAACTGTTCAAGTATTCAGTTTCAGAAGATAACTCTTTTCTTTCACAATTATACCCACAGAAACCTATTATGTGGGAAATGCTGAATCATGGCCTGCATCTCTGACTGATCACCTGAGGTGTGCAATGAGTCAGCCCTGGCAGCTCAGGTGAAGACAATTCTCCCATGCTACTGGAAGAGGTGGAGCCTGCTCCATCTCTCCTAGATCCCATTTAAGAGCTGACTACCACTAGAGAAGGATCTTTTTTGGAGACTGCTCCTCTTGGAGTCTTCTCAGTGAGTTCAGGACAAGGGTAAGCTTTCCATCCAATTCTTTGCCACTGTTACCTAGCTTTTTGTTTTCTATAAGCTTTACCAAATAGACTCTTGGTAAAGCTCCACAGAGCTGGTTGAGAGAGAAACACTGGAGGAAAAAGCTGCATGGGTTTTCCTCTAGTGTTCTCTATTCCAAAACTAAAAAGAAAGGTTATGATCCACTGAGACTCTAGAAATTCTAGGCAGTCACAGCAGAAACATGAATTGCTAACTGCACTGCTAGGCTGAACCGCTAAGTCAAAGGTACATAGAGCCTTGAAGGTGGTGGATCGGAGTCCATTGAGAACTGCAAGGTGAGAAGAAGTCATCAAATATCAAGGGACAGACCTTGCAGCCTGAGCTACCTCCAATTCCACTGTCCTAATGGCAGTTAGGTGACGGTTTCTACATCTGAATCAAAGAAAAGGAGGGCTGGTAAGTTCAACCAGAATGTCTCAGTCTACAGTGTGCAGGCTTTTCATTTGTCTCCCTCCACAGGATTCCATTTCCCCTCCAAATTACACCAATTTTCTCAAATAATTTAACCATAAAAATCTGAAAAACAGAGTGGATTACATATACAATACAGGCCTTTTCTGCCTGAGGGCATCAAGCTTAGACTTCTCAATTTCAAAAATATTCAAATATGTTGTACATTTTATTCATGCCAAATAACAAAGGGGAAATATACCACTGACACAATAGCTTTTTGGAAATAACTTGAGGCAGCGTTTCCACAGAATTTACATGGTATCATTAGAGTTCTAATATACTGTTCTACTTAGCTGTTTTCTTATTAAGTTACATTCATTCAGACTGAACGGCATGGGAAAACACAGTGAGAAAAGTCAATATATATCTGTCAAAAATTAAGACTGACAAGGCTTTTCAGTATGCAAGCCAGCACTGAAATTTTCATTTTTGTATTACACCTATAACAGCTGGGTAGCTGTGCAGAATACTGACTTGCTGTGGGGAAAAGTAAAATAAATAAATTCCAGCTGCTACATATATTAAAAATATATTTTCACCAGATAGCCTACCATAAAGACAAGAGATACTTAAAATTAGAGTTTCTAGAACTGACATTTTATTAAACTGTAACAAAAGATGATGCATAGAGCAAGAGTAGGCAGTTACAATCTCTACTGGATATGCTTGAAAAGCTAAAATGCGAGAAAACAGAACTGGATTCTTCTTGAGAAGAATTATTGATGAAAAGGTGTGCAATCACTTCTTTTCACAGAAATGCTTCCAGTAGAGCCAACACAGCTAGCAGTAGCAGAGTCTCTGGAGCAAGAGTCCTTTCTCTCTACTTCACAAAAAGCAGTCCAGCATAATATTTTGAACAATAAAACTCAAATTGATCTGTTTACAAAATAAAAATCTCTTTATTTCTTGAGCATTCCCACATTGGTCATCTGGGAACTGAAAGAATTAAAAATGAAGCACCTTGCTGCACCTGATTAGTTGACGTAAGGTGCAAAAAGTGAATACTCAACATGTAATTTCTGAGGCATACTGGATTTTTGAGAGGGAAAATGACATAGTCACACATGGCTCCCTGAACTGCAGTGTTAGAAGGCAGCTAGCTGTGGGTAAAAGGTAGAAGAACAGCTGATACTCAGCACTGTATTGGTTACTTGAGACAGAAGAGAACTGAGTGATATCAGCTCAGTCTTACTAACACATGTGTGGATAGTTCAGGTTTTCCTTTATGAGCTGCATTCCCAATGCATTTTAAAAACATGCAACAATACTAAACTAAAAAAGAATCCATCTGTAGAACAAGAAATTTATGAGGCATATTTTCTAAAGAACATTGAAGCGTATAAACAAAGTAAGACTGTTCCCTTCACCCCCACATCAGATAAGATGTTAATATTACCTCTCTGGAACAGGATATTTAGGACACAACTTGGCAGCCCTTGGATCTGTTGTATATTCTGATGGCAGTAGTTCATAGCTACACAGAGTAGATCCTGTTGAGAGGGGGAAAAAAAAGAAAAACAACTGATGGAAAAAAATCAAATATTCCTAATCTTTGCAAACAATATCAAAACTGATACAGGTTGTTGTTCTGTAGTGCCTCATGCTATTACTGCAATGTTATGCTACAGCTCCTCCTGTAATGAAGCATTGAATCAAGCTCAGCATACACTTCAGTTAACAGAATTGTGTTTTCCATCTAGTTTTGGATTTTCCAGAGTTTGTGAATTCAAGAGGAAAAGGCTGATTCATGACCCCATATAAAAGACACACAACACCTTGAAGTCATTTTTCCCTGCTACTCCACTACATTTTTTCTTGATTATTCAGTGTGTGAATATTGCATAATACAGCATTTATTACATCAATAAATATTCAGTTAAATTTTAAAAAATATTTTAAAAATACAACTGATCTATAGACTTCAGAGAAAAGAATAAAGGAACCAAACTGCAGAGGTTATGTAGTTGGCCGAATACAAGGTCTGACTGTATCAGATGTCTAAAGCTCTTAAAAAAGCTAACTATTCTACATGTACAAGCCAGTACAGTATTGTAAATATCAAATTGCCAAAAAGAAAACTCAAACATTATTTCAGTTTTACTTAATAGAACGTGCCTAATGGACATATACTACCAGGCAGCTCTCTTCCCATTTGTCTATGATCAACATACTCAACACTGACACCAGTGTTTCCAGGAATATAGCAATTGCCAAGTCAGATTGGAGCACTGCTTTCTCAGAAACAGGGAGAAGAGAGAAAGGCTATAAGTGGATGAGCTGCTTATCTAAAGTGAGCTTCTTCCCAAGCTTGCTTGCTTTCTAATTCTCCAGTGCAAGCATTCTGTGTATGTAAAAAAGAATGGTAAAGGCTAATAACTAAGGACATCTTGGTGATCCACAGGTACATTTTATTCCTCGTATTCTCAAAAGTCTTCGCTCCATGAATACTTAGTAATAGGGAGTTCTACAAACTGGATCTAAATAACATAGACAATATTAACTTTTCCACAAGTTAAACTGTGAGTCTTGAGAAACACTCTTCTCTTGGCTTGTTTGACACCAAACATAAGTACTATTCAAAGAAAGTGAGCATACTATTTGTAGTTGTAGGTATCTTGTTTACCATTGGCATATTGCTACTCCTATGAAAACATCTCTGTATATGGGCTGGAAGAGAAGACAGAACAGCTGAGGAGGCTATTCCATTCAGTCTCTGGAACACTAGTTAAGTATTGCTTCTACGGACTAAATTTCTGGGGGGAAGATCCAAAACACCAAATACACCACTAAAGAAAGTTAGATTTCTTGCAGAGGAAAACATCTGAACTCTGTTTTCAGTTCTATTGTTTGTATGCATCCTGATGCTTCTGTTTGATTATGTGGATAACACTGTATTAGACTGAAAGACATGAGACAAAATTACCTTCTTAACATCACAGTAATAAAAGTAGTATTTAAAAGTAATTATTGTTCTTTTTGGACAAAAGGCACTATAATATTGCAGAAGTTTTTAATCTGGACACGTTGCTATAGGTATGAGAGGTATGAAGCGGGGTACACTGCAGGAAGTGGTCACATATGTACCATCTTTTACAGACATAGGGAACAAGAAAATATTTAACTGTGTTCTGCTTTGAATACAGACCAAAATCTAACTTATAGAAATTATTTCATGAAGAAGCAGAAGGAACTGTATAAAGACTCCCTGGCTGTGGAGGAAACTTGAAGCACGTTGTCAGTTCAGCCTGGAACCCTCCTGAGCATGCTCCCTCCTGTCATTCAAAGGAGCAATGAATGCCTCTGGCTGTCACCACCACCTCTTGACTGGGACTTTCATCCCTAGCAGTTGATATGAAGAAGGAAGTGAAGCCATCCAAAGGGACCTGGACAAGCTGAGTAAGTGGGACCATGTGAACCTAATAAGTTTCAACAAAGCCAAATGCAAGATGCTGCACCTTGGTTGGAGCAATCCCAGACATGTACAGACTGGGAAAAAAATTCCATGCAGGGATGGGATCAGGAAAGCCAAGGTGCAGGAAAAAGAACTTGACAAGAGATATGAAAAATATCATGGGATTCTGCAGGTACAATGGTCAGGAGACATGCAAATGAGAGTACATCCCCTTTAATAAATGAGAAGGAAGAACTGTCTTCCTTGGATATGGATATGGAGAAGGCTGAGGTAGTCAGTGAGTTCTCTGCCTCAGACTTCACTGGCAGGTACGCTTCCCACACCTTTTAGATCCCTGAACCTGTACACTGGATCAAGTGAGCAAAATACCTCCCACTGTAAGAGGAGAATGAACATGAGACCATCTCACAAGACTGAATGCATACAAATCAATGGGGCTGGTTAAAATGCATCCTAGGGTCCTAAATGAAATGGCTGACGTGATTGCCAAGCCATTCCTTCATATTTGTAAAGTCATTACTGTTAGGTTAAGTGCTTCTGGCTGTAAAAAGAAAAACATAACTCCCATTTGTAAGAAAGGGAATAAGGAACTTGTGGAATTACAGGGTTGTGAGCCTCACTTCAGTACCTGGGAAAATCACAGAGCAGATCCTCCTGGAATAGATATGAAAACACATGCGAAAGGAAGAGGTGAAACCAGGACAGTTGGTTCTGTGACATGTGATAGTGGCAAATCATGCCTTCCAACCCAAGCCGTTCTCTGATTCTATGAAATTCTTCACTCAGACGGCAATAAGACATTGGCAGAGGCTGCCCAGAGAAGCTGTGGATGCCCCTTCCCTGGAGGCACTCAAGGCCAGGCTGGCTGGGGGCCTGGGTATTCTGATCTAGTGGGTAGCAACTCTGCCCACACAGGGAAGACGGAACTAGATTATCTTTTTTCCAATCCAAGCCATTTTAGAATTCTATGATGATTCTATGAACTGCTTGCTCTTAGAGCTACTTTGGGCCTCTTGCCTTCAATTTTACATCCATGGAACATGCTTCCTTAGGACTCCTTTAATATGGGCTAGTAGAGACTAATCTTTGCGTAGCCTGTCTCAGTTGTGCTCTTTGAGTTTATGAGGGCTGGAGAAGCTAAATGATTAATTCCAGTTATCTACTTTGCTGAGACAATTAGTTTACCAAAGACATCACTATTATTCCTAACTACTAACACTCTTAATTGTTTCATAAACATTATAGGTAGAATTCAGAGAACAAACTGAAAAATCATTATATAATAGTTCTTTGCTACCTCTGCGCATATATTTCTTCTGGAGAAATAATTAGGCAAATAACATTCAACTGTCTTACATGGATTCAATTTGAGATCACAACATGATGTAACCTTAAAGAAAAATACTTCTGAACCATGTGGACTAACAGCTGCCCAGCCAGCAACAAATACACCAGAGTCTTCTGGTCTCAGAGTGCTTTTTATTTGGTGCTTTCACACACTAGGTGGTATTCCGGAGATGCAACAGTTTCTGTCCCATGGCTTATCCATAAGAAGAGCTGCTCTAGGCATTAGAATATTTGTCCTAGTCATGGCCTCAAAATATCTCAGAAGATATGCTTTCCTTCCAACTTTAACACAGCCATGGGTGTAATCATCCCATTTCCTTTAAGAAAAAAAGAAAAAAAAAAAAAAAAAGATGGAAGCTTAAGATGCTGGATCATTTATCTGTGAGGAATTCTGCTGTAAATTCTACAGCCAAAAACCACAGAATAGGTAAGATGACAAGCAGTGTTTCCATAGAAAATGTAAGTTACTATTCATTGCTAACAGAAGTCTCTCTTCATTCCTCCAAATTTGAAAAAGCCTCAAGCTACCATGTAAGGAAATACACTGGTGCTGATTTTTCATTCCTTATTCACTAGGTTTGACAATTGTAATTATATCCTGCCAACAACCGTATGAAATAATTGCACTTAGAATGCGAGCACTAAGAATACATGAAGTTTAGGCTTGGATCAGTTTCCTACTTGCCAAGGGAGTAACGAAGACACTTCAGAAGCAAGAGAGTTCACATTTGATGCTTCATTTGTAAATGAAGCAGCATTATGTTATGCACAAGTTAGCATCAGAACTATAAACGAGTGAGAAAACAAGAACTCTACATCTCAGCCATCGATATGAATACAGTCTGAAGTAGTAATTAACATGGAAGCATCGGAGATCTGCATAAACATACCTATATATTGTAGACACTTCTGCTGTGAATGGTTCCAGGATACACATAAAAGGTCAGATGAAGATAGAATTTTACCTAAAAAATTAATCTAATTTCTGGGTCATACTAGAAACCAGAAAAGTACTGATGCCTTGAGATTAGCAAAATGGCACTGGATGAAGCACTTCGTGGTCAGGACTTCTTAGATATATACAATAGATACGTTCTCAGTAAATAAAGCAAGTTTCATTGTCTAGATCTATCCTTCAGTATCTTTCAGGAATACACTGTGTTTCAAGGAGGAGACTGTACGTAGCTAAACTCCTGGGTGTTCCAGGGGGATGTACCATCACAATGACATTCACAAAGTAAGGACGATAACACAACCTTTATGATGACAACAGAGCAAGAATTCACACATGTAATATGGCTCTTGTTTTCTCTCTTAATAATTAATAAATCTTACACTTTTGGACAATTCTGTGCCTTCCCCTAATTCTTTCACTGTACTCAAGAGCTTCACAATCTCTTTCCCAAGCAGCAATAACCCATTTGTAATAAAACACAAAACATATACCAATGATTATTTCCTACCCCTTCATTCTGCAGGTATTCCATTACATTTGATGTTTTGTTCCACTATCACCAACTTCATATTTTTTCATGTAATTCTAAATAATTATATAGCAGTACCAAGATTCATTACCACACTGCTCCTCCCCTTTCCAAGTGGTTTTTTAATGTAATAAAAAATACTGTATTGGTGCAGACTACTGAAAGACTCCAAAGCAGCCTCCCTTTCTCTTGTGAAAACTGCTTCATTCTTTCTAACTGCACCCCATTTTGAACACAAAATAATTCTAATACTATGGTTGCAGTAACAGACAAAGTAGCCATACTGCCTTTTATCTCCAAAAAAAAAAAAGGTTATTTAAAAAACTGGTAGTCAAAATTAATACGTTCAGATTCCCAAAGATCTTGTGGTTCATAATCTCTTTAACCATATGCCTACATCTAATGTGGAACAAATGGCTTTTAGAAAATTAAGGATTGAGTTCCAAACAAGACACTTCAATTGAGGGAAAGGATTAAAAATGGTAGTAGACGGAAAAAAAACAAGAAAAATGTCAGAATCTAGCAGTGATAACTACTATTTTTATGGTATTTCTATGGCAAATACTATCAGCATACTGTAAAGGTTTACTTTGATTACTATGTGTAAAGAAATTATTATCTTCAGACAAAAAAAAAAAGTGATTTTCCCTAGAGGTCAGAAAGATGCCCTCCTCTGATTCCCTTTATTGAATTTATTGACTGACTTCAAGTCAGTTACAGTAGCAGACTTAATGTACCTTCACCTCAAACTCTAAAGTCTACCTGAACTCCAAACTTGCTTGGTCTAGACACAGCATTCTCCTTATGGAGATGTCTGACAACACATATTAGAATAGAAATATTTCAGGTTCCTAAATCTGCATGTAGTTATTTACAAAACATATATGAATGCCAGTTCTCATAAAGACTAGTTATTACAAATAATATTTAATTAAATATGTCAGAAATTCTGGTCAGCTGTTTAGTGCTGTTTATTTATTTATTTGTGTTTTTTTTTTTTTTTTTTTATACTGACACCACATCGCTCATATGTCACAATTATAAATTAATTACATCTTCAGAGATGTTAAGAAATGCTTTGGCAAGGCCTTGAAAAGGCCACTGTAATGTTTCCTGAATGTTATGCACCAATCAGCTTTCTGTAAAAAAAGAAACAATACACAACACACACAGTTTTTGTTTTTGTTTTTTTTTTTAAGTGCGAAGACCAAACAAAAACATCAAATCCCTGCCTGAAATGTTCTGCTGGGTGAGAAAGTCCTGGAGAGATCAGCCAATAATCAGTTCACATTACAAAATTTCTTTGTTGTGCAAAATCCATTAGCTCCGTAAAGTCAACTATTAGTTTGACTGTGTGAGAGCAGCAGTAGAAAACATTCCCTGTAAATGCTGCATCAGCTTCAGGAGTCATTTCAAAACATATTTAAGATTTTCAGCTTGCATTTTTGTACAGGCTGAAGATCTCAGCCAACTGCCCAGCATTCTCCTTCCTTGTTTCGCCACTTGTAAGAGGTCCCAACCAATTACCAGTATTTTGTCGATCAATCACTCTCAACAGACTGAAGGCACACACTTTCTTGTTTCCTGAACATCAGCCTGACTTTCTGAAGAACAGAGTTCTCTTTTTCTTAGATGCAATGGCACTGCAAATGCAGTACCTTGTAGTGAGAAACCAAGTGGGGTAGAGAAGAAGTTACTGACCTGAAATGGCGCAGCACTATGCACCAAATCATCTCTTTTTCCCCAAATTACAGCAGAATAGCAAGTGCATCATTATAGATTCAGGAAGCCAAAAGGCTGCTTCACGATGAAATGTTCTTCATGTCTCAAGCAAGAATTTTCTCTCCCCTAAATGCATATTCATAACTTTGCTTACAAACATGTTGTACTGCACTATAACAAAGACTTCCTCCCTAAAAGCTTTGAGTCCTGGGGTAGCAGTTCTATCACACTGCGTGTAAGCAGTTAAGTACCTACCCCATTTTAGGAAAGAAACCATAAATGCTAAACTATTTGAAGGATCATATCTAAATATCAATAAAATAATGAAACAATTCAATATGTTGCAGTATGTTTTACAACTTGTATTACAACTTCTCATAAAGACATTCAGGTAAAATTCTTCATCTGAATTTACTACATCAACTCTTGATGGGCTGAGGCACAACAGAAGACTTCTTTTGAATAGAATGATTCTTAAGCAGTAATTTAAGAAGAAATTGCAAGGGTAAGGTGACTTCAGGGAGGGCATCTGAGGCAGATGAAAATGGCTAGTTCTTCAAATTACATGCAGCAACCTACACAAAGCCTATCTTCAGCATCACTATAATCTTCAGGCTGTAGAAGGGTTAAAGCTTTTAGAAAAGTTCAGCAAATAAAATTAAGGTTTTATTGCATTCTACACCCAGGCATTTTCAAATATTAAGGCGTGGGTTTTTTTTGATAGGTGTTAGAAGTTGTTAGCATGGAAAACTCAGCACTGACTGTCACAGTAAACCAAACACATATCTCTTGCCTTCCTTCTTCAAATTTCAACTTGATAACAACACTAGAATAGAAACTGCAACTAAACTGTGTGCAGTCATGTTCAAATTTCTCAGATTTCCTTATCAATCTTTTTTATAGGGCTTATTGTCACTTGAAATAGTCTGCAATATTAATAGTTAATAGCTTAATAGTTTTATGTAGCTTAAACCTATCCTTAATGCTATAAAGCTGCTCTCAGAGAAAAGATCCTGATTAATGAATCCTATAATTTTAATATTAATTCGATGTTCCTTCGCTACTGCAGGATTGAATAATGCTTTAAATTTTACTATCTATATGCAAACTGCGTTGCCATAACATTTACAGTGCTCAATAGGTAGGCTGTTTATTTGCTACAAAATAAACTTTCTGGAACCTGCCCTGGTTGGTGAACATTTAAATCAGAACTAATGCCATGAAAATAAGTTCCACAGAATTGTGTGATTCCAGTTTTGTACAGCACACACTTTAAAAAAAAAAGAAAGCTTGACTTAGTTTAGTACCCTTCTTTTGGTTGTCTTGAAAAGCCCAAAATCATATAATGGAAACTGGGGCTTGAACTCATGAATTATTCTATTCTGCTTTAACAATAGATTTCACACTTTTGGCCAAGATTCTCTAAGCTGAAACAATTGGCTGTGATACTAATTAATGAAAACCTGTGAGTTTTGTTTAAAACCTAAAAATGCTAAGGGAAATACAGTTAGAACTAAGAATCACGAAGACAAGACAAAACGTTTTATGAAGAGCGATTTTTGCTATACTTTAAAAAATGATTATTCTGAAAATATTTCAGGCATAGTTAATGTAAGACTTTACATAGAAACACAGGAACAATATTTGTGGTTACACAGTATTACAGGTAAAACAGGTTACACAGGCTTTTTATTACTTCAAGGTGTACTTAAACTCCACACAAAAATAAACTGAGTCTGCACAAAGTAAGAGAAACTCAGCTAGATTTAGAGGTGAAAAGTAAAACCATGTTACAGTAATACTAATTTTCATTGTGGGCTTAAGTTGACAACAGTAAAATAAATTACATGAGGAAGTTATCACTCCCAAACTATCCCCTGCATTGTGTTGAGACAGCTATTTGTGCAGTAACATAGACTTTCAAGTAACACACTGGGAAGACCTGAGAGCACTAATAGTGTTCTAGGGCCACTTGAACTCATTCTGTTTTCAAAAAAAAACAAAAAAACAAAAAAACAAAAACAAGTGCTCATATCACCAGTAGTAGAACAGAGAACAACATGTCATTTCTGCCTGTGAAAAGCAGTCAAGTTCACTGCTTTGAACTTGGTCAACCAGACGGACTCATCATTAGCTGAGTCATGAAGAAATCTCATCATAGCATTTTAAAATAACAGGTGTGTAGTCTAGAACAAAATTCTCCACCTTAATAGTTGAAGACCTTGACAATTTCCTCAAATTATTTTCAAGTTTTTATCTTTACTTTGTTTTGCATGGTCCAAAAATTTATTATCTCTTGTGCATTTTATAGTATTTTAAAATATGGATCAAAATGATAATATCAGAATCATTACTACAAAGAAAAAGTACTGCTTTTGGGGATGGAGTACAGTGTTTTATATGGTAATACAGTTGTTCTTCCTATTTTTTTTTTTTTTTTAAGTGTTTAAAAAAGCAAAAAACAAACAAAAAACAATCCCCAAAGCAAAAAGGTATTGCACTGTGGCACTGAATAAAAGCAGGACAATTTCCCACCACAGACATGCTCCAAGTGCAGTTTGACAGCAGAAATGCCAAGGAGTCACGGGCCTCTTGAAGGTATTTCAATAGTTATTGAACAGTAATATCAGAACATTTCTGTAAGAGTTGGGACACGCTCAGTGTTAGACATTCTCTTAAATTCTCATTATACTTTCTGCTCCTGTTTTAAGAATGAGCCTTCAAAACTGTCTAAGACATGAACACAAACATACTAACACTGTAAGCTTTAAGAGAAAAGTTAGAGTTTAACAGCATTTCTTAATCGAGATTTCATTTTTCAGATAATGCATAAGTCTTTCCACAATCTTACAAAATTGGTATGTGAATAGATGTGTTTTTTTCATACCATTAGTTTCTGCAAATTTCTGAACATCAGCCAAAGTTTTTAGTTCTTTCCTTGGGCAAGCCGATACACACAAAGCAAGAGATTTGATCTTCTGATGTACCAGATCAATATTGCATGGATCCAAGAAGAATACATACCTATGGAGGAAAAAGATGCAAATTACTTCTATTTTAATCAACAATTACATTGAAGAAAATTAATCTCAAGCTACAAGATTCACTGAAGACTAACTTTAAATCTACTGAGAAATGTGTAACATTTTACATTAATACAATTGCATGATTAAAAAGAATTCATATACTCAACATATGCACCACAAATACATTAATATTTTTATAGACAATTGGATCATACAGCAAGGATATTACACTATCAGATGCAATCTATTCAAATCTATGTTTACAAATATATAGACTAGCATTTCTATCATACCTCTTCACAGATATCTGTCCTTAAATTGAAAGATAGAGCTTCTTTCAAAATCAAACAAACAAAAAAACACAAAAAAAACCAAAAAAACAAAAAAACAAACACCCCACCTGTGTGCTTTCGAAACACAACAAATCCCATGAGGTTATTCTACAAAAAAATGACCATCTGTTCTTAATGAACACATACAATACGAAAAATTCAAAACAGCTTTTTGGTTTAGATTGATTTTTCATAGTGCCAGCCCATTAAGTTGAGCACATCATATTAGTATTTATTTTAAATTAACATTGTTCATGTAGTTCAAGTGGCTATAGCTCAGGTGCAGTATTTTAAAAAGATTCTATCTCACAACTTTCCATGATGGCCACTGCCACTAAAAACAAACAAACAAACAAGCTGCTTGTGAAGTACATACTACAGCTCTATAGCCAACTTTATCTCCTACCTGTGGACACTTCATCGCAAAGACTAACCCTACAGTACTCCCCATTCATGGTATAATGAAGTCAGATTATCTGTTTCTCTTCTCCCAAAAGCTGAACAAGCATTTCAAACTCCAATAACTCTGGTGACATGCCATGAATTAAAATACTCTCTTCATATTATCTAACATAATAATGATAAAACAACAACAACAAAAAACCCAGCCATATAAATGACTTTTTTCTGCAGTCAGAAATTCATCCCATAATCTATAAAAATTCCTTCTGATCTCAGAAAACTTTTCCAAGCTACTTTATAGTCACATAGAGTTTATAAGTACATCTTAAAATATATAGTGCACATAAGACTTCTCTAGAAGCACATTAACAGAAATAAAACATTAATGTTTCGTTTGAATATTGGATACTGCTATGTCAGAAAGAGTTACAACAAAATGTAATGTCCCAATATGTTTGACACTACATACTTAAGAGATAATACTCTGAAAGTGACATAATTTTTTAACAAATCTAACAGACCATGACAAAATGTCAAACCATACATCTTTTTTAGATAACTGGAACAAATCTGCTTCAAAAAACACAGCACAGACACTAGGAAAAAGAAAAACAAATACATTCTATCAGTAGGCCATGCTCATAAAGGCTAATGTTTAGACTCCATTTCAACACTTTCTATGCGCAAATTCCCAACTAATCTTCCTTCCTGCCTTCCTTCCCCCAGTAAAACTTACCTATTATCCAATTCCAGTGTACGAGAGTTACTACTACTTCCTGAGTTTTTCAGCCCTTAGCTTCAAGACTTTGTCTCATGTCTTGAAACTTAAAATCCATGTTATCTAATTAAAGTGTAATATAGTAATATCCCATATGCTTTCTTTTCTTTGTCCATAAACATTCTATAAACATCTTTGAATTGATACTGAGATAGATAACAGCATGTTAGTCGGATAGTCTTGTTACCACTTCTTCATGAAAGCAACTCCCCGTAAGGAGGGGAACTTGGGTGTCTTTTAAGGGTATATCAAGTTCAAGCAGCCATTAACAAGAACATTTAAGACTCAAATCTGAACAACAAATGATGAGGGAGGCAGTGATGATCACAAACCTCCTCATCTCACTATTGTCAAATTCTGATAAGGGAGGGAGACAAACATTTGGACATAAAACATGTCCCATTAGTGAACTACAGCAACTGATGGGCTATCAAGTAGTAGCATGCAAAGAGAGACTTCACAACTGATACAGATACAAACATAAAGGTCCAGGACACTGGAGAAGGTCAGTGGAGCTATGCCAGCTGAGGTGACAACAGGGATGGGAACAAAGTGGGAAAGACATAAAAGGGGCTCACTGTGTGTATGCTAAGGCTAGTCAGAAGGAATCCTGCACCTGACTACCACAGCCTGTCCAATTTTCTTACTAAACCCTTGCTTCATCATCTCTGCATAACGTTGCTCCATGCAACATGCACTTCACACTGCCACGTAAGAGCTACCAGGGGACCAGCACACACAGATGTGGTGCCAGCAGCACTGAGGTGACAGGCAAGGCCACGATGATGGCCTGTGGATCTCTTGTGTGGGCCTGCACCAGGGCCTGCTGGCTCTGCCAGCCCCAGGGCAGGAGGGGACAGTGCTGTGCCTGTGTGCTGTGTGTCCTGTCAGTGTTCTGCAGTGTTTGTCCAGCTGTGTCCCTCAGCCTGGGAACAAGCCCCACATCCCTAGGTTGGACTCCAGTGGTTGTGCAGGAGGGTACTCCCAGCATCCTTTAATATGTACTGCTGGGACAGCCAAAGGAAAACCAATTCAGCATTGCTGGTACTCACAGACTGGAAGGCAGCCCAATATTCTTCAAATGAACTCAAGGACTAAGCTATAATCTTAACATCTGGAAGAAATTAGAGTATTTTGTAAAATAAATACTACAGCTTCAAGTCAAGACAGGTGACTTGGAAATACAATGCAAATATAGCACCATACACAGTTTGGACAGAAGTATGTTTAAGTGGACATATATGGTTCAAACACTATATTGTACAGTTCAGAGATGGCTCTAACAGAAATAAGGCAGCTGCAAATCAAACTCTAAGCTTTAAATCAGTGACTTCAATCCATGCTCTATGGAATCAGATTTTTTTATTTCAAACAGCTAAAATACGAGTTGAAATATCAAATAACAGTATTATAGAGGAAAGTGGTTTGATTTTTGAGCTACAATTTATTGAAAACAACTAATTTTATTGCAGAAAATTCCATACCATGTCACCAATGAACAGGTTTTGCTCGTCTTGTACTGCACTTTCACTTCTTCAGAATCAAAAATAGACCAGTTCATTGGTAAGACTGCAACTTAGATCAGCAATACAAAGACTTGCAGCTTCCACACTGCAAGTGAAAATTTGATTGCCTTAGGAAATTCAGTATGTCAAATTCGTAGCCTAATAATTCTTCTGTAATATCTCACCAGCCTACTTTTTTGGAAATCTACATTTGTCTCTGAAATTCAGCACGATGAAAAAAATTATTTCAGGTAAAAATAAATGCATTAAGTTTTTAATATGTCTACATTCCATAGGTATAATAAAAACAAAAAATGTTGATTTCATGTCTAGTTTTAAATGCATTCTTATAACAGAGAAAGATGGCATGAGTCTACATCAATTTTCAGAAATCATAGCATCTGAAAATAAGGTCAATATCAAGTTGTTCACCCTGAGGCAGAACGTTCAAAATGAACTTCAGTATAAGATTTAATGTATCAAACTTACACATGTAATGAAAGAATATATAAAATAAAATTTTTAAAAACTACTGCATATAGGATAATCTTCCTTATTATTTGGAGTTTCTATTTTGATATGTTCCTTTTTTTCTAAAGGTAAAAGGAAGTAATATAATTTCAGAAATGATCTGAGATCAGAAACAGAGCATCAATAGCTCTGGCTCCTGACGAGTGACCTATTCATAACCATGAGAAATGCAGTAATCTCCTCTTCCCATGCAAAAACAGGAAGTCAAAGCATTATCCTTTTATACAATACATCTTGATTCTGGAAGCATGAACAGTACATTTTAAGCACGGTGGCAAATCGTGAATAAGTTTATATTACCTTCAAGTACTTCATACATTCTTATATTTGCCAGTGTCATTGACGTCCTCAAGGCATCTCTTTACAGGCAAATGAGCACTTTACAGAACAATCATTTACTGTGATTTATAAGCATCTTACCAAGATAATGGAGAAATGAATTAAACTATCACAATCAAAACAAATGATGTATAGGGCATCTAATTTTACTAAATAAAGTTTTCTGCATGCATGCTACAAACTCCACCTGGCTTTTGCTATTACCTAAACATCAACACTTTTCATGAGTCAAAGGCATTTATTAAGGTGAAATGCCACCTTAACTCTTCTCTGTATCAGCACATGTATATTATTTTGTACTTAAAGGAACAGCAATAACTGAATTCTGCATATGCACCAAAATATTGCTGATCAAAAATACCACTGACTAGCATTTCAGGAACCTAAACAACACTAGGAATCAACTATGCTTCTGAATAAAAAGCCATTTTTAGCCCTATCATAACTGCAAAACTTGAATTAACTGAACTAATTTAAAGTGGAGAGATTTACTGAGAATCCAGCGCTGGACTATAATTCTATGTCTTACTCTAAAATCACGGTCTATTAAAGCTGTTTTTCCTTTGTAGAATACAAAGATGTCCGATTCACTCTTTGTTGACAAGATCAAGTTGTAGAAACCTCCTTCCACCATTCCACTTCACTGATCTCAGTGTAACTGTTGTGCAATTGTGCACCTATATGATCACACCACAGTGAGATCCTCATCCTTACCACTAGATTTTCATATTCATGCAGATCACTCTTCACTTTCTCATTACTGTCTGTAAGGTTTACTGTCATGTACAAGAAAGAAAATGTTGTTTTTAGAGATGATTTAGCTCTTCTGCCTTGGACTGGGAAATGAAGACAGAATTACTCTGCCAGCAGAATAAAATGAGAATAACTTCACTTTTCCAAAATCACAGAGCTTAAAGCCCTTCCTTTCTCCATACAAACTGAAATATTAAACATGAATAAGACAACATGATTTTTACATATGTCTGAAAAATACTCCTAAAAAAAAAAAAAAAGCATGAAACATTCCCATGACCTGTACCTCAGACACTGCAGGAGCTCCATCTGCTAGAGACAGATGCAAAGTATCTGTCAGATACTCCCTCCCTAGAGGTATTCAAGGCCAGGTTGCATGGGGCCCTGGGTAGCCTGGTCTAGTATTAGATATGGAGGTTGGTGATCCTGCCTGTGGTAGGCAGACTGGAGCTTCATGATCCTTGTGGTCTCTTCCAACCAAAGCCATTCTATGATTCTATGAAAGTAGGTTGTTTCTTCTGAAAAACTGCCCCAAAAAATTAAAAACTCATGGAATATGAGAATGCAAATATCACTTGCCTACAAAAGAATTGGTTTCTAGCAAATCAGGCACCCTGACAACACAATAGCTGGAGAATAATTTGTCCTACTAGAAAGAAAGCCTTTTTACACTCTTACCAAACAGAAACGATGACATCCCATGTAAGTGTACCTAATCATTCACTTAAGCCATTTCTGAAGCTGCAATATCTTCTTCAGAAAAATTTGATCCTTCTGAACTGTACAAAGACTTTGGATTGACAAATAAAAAACACTATATGTTAACTGCATTTAAAATTTTCCCTATTTCTATTAGTAATCTTTCCATCATGTCTATACAAGATGAATTCATTTCACACTTGCAGATGTTTCTCCTCATGATGATCTCTGTCAAATGGATATTCTGGAATTTAAGAGACTATTACACTATTATTTGGTATATTTCAGTCATGTGCCTGTGATTCTCCACCTTCTTGCACCAAGACAGACACCATTTATTTATCAAGGGAAGGAAGTTTAAAATATTAATATTTAAATTAACATTTTCTCTAATAACATAAGAATGATGCTTCTGTACTACACACATCTGACTTCAAAAAGCACTAAAATACTACATAGTAAAATAAGAAAATTATGCTGGGTAAGTTTTAAGCTTTTCAACTCTCCTAGAAGTTTCAATTAGTTTAAGAAAAGATCTCCTTTCAGAAAAAAATCCGTAGAAGTTTTCAGACTATTTGTTTAATTTCTTCTAATGACACAACAGACACCTGGCAACATTAAATTTTAAATCAGGTGTTTGAAAATCTTTATTACAACAACAAAAAAATAACATACATTAGAAAAGCATCCTCCTAAAATAACACCCACAAATTAATGACTTTCCATTAGTTTGAAAGTAAAACCATGAAGTAAAATCATCACTGTCAGAAATTGAAGATTTTTTAACTTTTCTAACATAATCAAATTTTGAAAGAGACTTTTTTTTTTTGGTCAATTAATACCTGCATCCCAGGCTAGGCTAAGTAGCTTACTTTCTGAAATTACCCAAACTGTACACATGCATTCTGAACAGACAAGAGGGCAGATCTCAATAGACATTCACTCAACAGGTTTTCAAGTCCTCATTCCAGAATTAACATTAATTAGCTCCTGTACTAATACTGAAGTATTATTATTTCCTCACAATAGATAGATAGAACCCAACTTTGCTGATCCTGATCTCTAACTGTGATTTTCCTCATGACACTGCTTAATAAGAATTGTGCGCTGCTCTTGCATATTTTCTCCACGTGCCCCTTTTATATATGCTACTCACCACCCAAAGTTTAGTTTTAAAGTCCTATTTTAATGCGTTGGATATTTTCCAGTTCCCCCTAAACTCAATGGCAGAAACTAATCACAGAAGCCCAATCACTTGGGCTCCTTGCACAGATATCAAAGGCCTAATCTCAAATTTCTGAATTGCCATACCTAAAACCAAAACAAAGACGACCCCTTGATGACCTGATAGATATCCCCACATCCCATGTGGATGCCAAGAATGAGAAATTTCTCAATGACTTAACTGCACTCATGTTACGCTTTTGTCAACATACACTTTTTAAAGTACTTCTGCTGTTATGGAAGGTTGTAGCTCCACAGATGTGAAGAGTGGAGAACGATCAGAAGAAAAGAGTTAGAATATTCATTTTCGAATTCTACTGAAAATCACTTTCAAAGGATACAAGGATGAAATTTTGGTTTCACACTCACTTCTTCTGTGTGAGGTCCAGACCACTGTTGGCTATTCCCTCCACCTTGACATTTTTCTGTCCACAGATATTTCCATAACTGTCATATCCTGAAAGCAGTCTTGCAGCTGCTCCTGTAGCTATTGTAAAGCCACAGATAAAGCCCTGTGGGGAAAAAAATCCACAATGGTAATATTCTGTCAGACAGCTGGGAAAATTTAGTTTAATTCATTTGTTTCTAAGCACAGTTTCTTTAAAAATTCTTTCAGGTCAAAGAAGGAAAGACAAGGACAATCCACAGAGAACTACTGTGCAATTATAAAACAAAACGCAAGGCCAAAAGAGGGCTCATATCTAGCACTGCACATTAATCCAAGCAGAATTAAGAATCTCATAGGTGTTCCTTTTTGAGAGTCATAATATCCTCATCAAGTGGTGCATGAAGCAGAAGAAAGAACAAAGGCACACAGTGAAAAAGAGCTACAAAAAAGAGCTACAAGACTTTCGACAGTCCTGCTTTTCTTGCATTATGGTTTGTTTTTCCTTCAAATTAAGTGCTTTCAATGATAAGCTAGAAAAGGCCTATATGACATAAGTTCATTTTAAAGAAATATTTTTGCTCTAAAGCAAAAGAAGTGGCCTGGTGAAAACCAGAACTGCTCCACACACTAGATTCAAACACAGGAAAAAAAAAAAAGATACAGCGCAAGAGAATGCAAAATGACTCACAGAGCAAAATGGCAAATGCTCAATGTCAGGCAGACTTTGCTGTGCATTTTCTGAGCTCTTATACTAGCAAAACTAGCATCAAGCCAGCAATAATGTGAACATGATACTGTTTTGAAAAATATCACCAGCTTTCTAGCAATGCCTTTGGCATGGAGAAGCAAGCCATATGCTTGCCCCACTATCATTAATGATGAGGCAAGCTATGACATGAGAAATCAGTCGACACAAATGCATGGAGCAACAGGATCACATGAGATGATGACGACTGGTAACAAAGTCAGTACTGAATACTTAAAACGTGAGTGGGTTTAAAGGTCTGAAGATGTAAGACAGAGATCCTCTATAATGGACAGGCTATCGCTGTAGAGAAACTTCAGACAGCAAGCTGTTCATTGCCCTTCTCTTGCCAATGCACTAATGCACTTACAGAATTAATACTCAAAGTGAGAACAAGGTCAAAGTCAGGAAAAGGCTATCATCACAAGTAATAATTAAAGCTGATTTCCAGCACTAACTCTCAATTTACAGGATCTCTTTATATTACATGAAGGCCTTATGATCATGCATTTTACATCCTATAGTACTCAGCATCTTGGATGGTTCAAAAATTCTTCCCTAAACACAATTAAAAGAAATCATGTAATTCCTCCCCATCTGATCTACGTTGAGACCATGCAAGGATGACCTTTCAGCCCATCCTGGTACTTGACTGTTCAGATGAACTCTCCCATAGAACATCAACTAATAGGGTATGTGAACAACTGGGGAATTGCTCTGTGTATTGCATTCCTCAGACAAGACAATCTTGGACACTCATTAGGTCACTGAGTTTCGAACTTTCTTCAAATAATGCAAACTTTTCAACTATGTAACAATCATAAAAATCCTTTACATTTTACTCACCATCCCTATGCAGAAGAGGATGAACAAGAGCAGCCATGGTACATCTGTACAGCTGTGGTCCTCCAGAGGCTTCCATTCTCGTTTGGAGCTCTTATATGAGAAAAGAGAGATGGGGTTAACAACATTTGTTTAAGTTTTCTGCTCCTAATAGATAAAAGGCAGAAAATGATACCATGGGGCATTAACATAGAGCAGGAGTTATCTTTCAAATCTTAAATACCAGTGGCCAAAAAACTGGAGAGTAGGACTTGTGAAAGGCACATTTAAAAAAAATCTCCATTGGCAGCTAGATCAACAAAGAATAATTTACCCAGAAAAAACTGATTTATGCAGGAATTTACATTACCCATTACAGGCACTCATCCAATAAACAGGTTTCTTTTTTCTTTTTAATTATCCAGAAAGAAGCTAACAGCATAGAATCAATGTCTTCTACTGTAGACTTCCACATCTGCCTTGCATTATTTGGTATTAGACTTTTCAAAAGCTCTTACATTTTAAAACACTACAGGCAGGTTTAACAAGTACAGTACATAAACAACAGATACAATAAACTGGTGTTAAAGAAACACTTGTCTACCTGCAAAGAAGCAGTTGAACACAACATTTCAGGAAAGAATTCTCTAGTAAGTATTGCCCAGGTGCCACAAAGGAAGTCTTGTACTACAAGGTTGAAACAATAATGCTGAATGCAATTTATACCTTCAAACAATAAACAGGCAGTCTTAAGCAATTCAAATTGTTTGCTGCTCATGAGGTAAAATTTCTCAGGTGTTCATACACCACTAAAATACTTAGAGGTCTTTTGCTGTCTAGTCAAGTAGTTCAAGAAAACAACAATTTTCATGTAAAGAATTAATACCAGCTGTAGCAGGAAAAAAAAAAATCACCATACTAGAATGTCATTATTATAGTGACAATATTAATTATAGCTACTTTTAAAAACAGATAGATAGCGTGCAATCTTTACAATTAGTTCCAAAATAAGTACTGTTCATACATTTCTATCAAGATCCCCAAAACTACTCACACTGTCTTTATACTCAGGGAAGAAAAGGAGATTGAAGTATGAGCATAAAGAACAGCTCTCTTCAGAAAAAGAATCAAAGTTTTAGATTTCTTTTTCCACTCACGACTCCAAAGCATCTTCAAGACTTAGTTGACAGGGTAGAAAATGTCAATATTGAATAAAAACAAACACTGTTGACATTTCAACCAACCATTCTATTCCCAGAGTCTTATATTAAGAAAAAAGAGAAAAAAAAAGCATGTAACCTTTGCGCTGTTACCAAGCCATACTTTGCTATTCACATATCTGGATGGATATCCTACACAGGTAATGCCATCTGAAAACAATAATGCTACAAAGTAAAAGAAATCCTGCACACAGCATGTATCAAAAAGGATCCTTCTGAATAGCTCAGCTTTTCACTAGGTAATTCCACCCTGTTCTTGCCACCTCATATTAAGGAAACTGCAGTGGCAGATACATGTGTTTATATTTTTAATTTGTGCTCTACACATTCACTCATCAGTCAAAAATCTTGCTACTTTACTCAACAATCACTTGTGAGAGGCACTAAAAGGTCACATCATTCATCCTACTACACTCATTCAACAAAACTGCCTTCTGATCCTGGCAAGCTCGCGCTTAGAACCAACACGCTATTTAAACTTAACATTTGCAGTGAGATTGTGACATTTATATTGTTTTAATTAACATAAATGAATTGCACAAAATATGTAAAGCTTTGTGCTTCGTATTCCTAAATTCACTTCCAAGAACCCTTGATATTTGAGAGTCTTACTTTTATTTATGCACAACAGAGAAAAATTTCAGCCATAGCCACACCTTAAGAGCAATCTGCCCTTGAGAAAAGAGGCAGCAGTCAGATGGATAGTGTGGTGTGGGTTTTTTCGATTATTTTTTTTTTTATCCTCTGTACCATCTGCAAACGAAATCTTCTAATAGGATTTTTAAAAGCCACTGAACGTCCTCTGAAGTAGCTCCGGCAAACATTCAGCTTGTCTGACAAGTCACAGTTACAATAAGTAACCCATTTTACTGACAAAAGTGGACTGCAATTTGTGTTTCAAAAAGACAACTTGAAAAGCCACGGCGTAACAGGTATGTAGAAAGTTACCAAGAAGAATTCAGTCTTCAGTAGTCTTAACTTGGCTCAAAAATACTAGCTTTTGTGGGGGGGGG